GAGGTGGAAACTGTTGCTAGGAGGGGAGGTTGAGTCAGTGAATATGGTACCAGGGAATGGGAACATGGACTTGATTTCTAGGCCCAGAGAGTTGCTGCAGCAAATGAGAAGTATGATTAGTCCAGTGTCACTATCCAGAATACTCTCTGATGTTGAAATCTCCTCCATTCATCCTATCAGTTTCCAATTTTTTTTCTAATTGTATTATTTTTTTATCATTAAAAAAATGTATTTATTTATTTTTGGCTGCGTTGGGTCTTCGTTGCTGCGCACAGGCTTCCTCTAGTTGCAGCGAGCCGGGGCTACTCTTCATTGCGGTGCACGGGCTTCTCCTTGCAGTGACTTCTCTTTGTTGTGGAGCACGGGCTCTGGGCGCTCAGGCTTCAGTAGTTGTGGCTCGTGGGCTCAGTAGTTGTGGCACACGGGCTTAGTTGCTCCGCGGCATGTGGGGTCTTCCTGGATCAGGGCTTGAATCTGCGTCCCCTGCACTGGCAGGCAGATTATTAACCACTGTGCCACCAGGGAAACCTTCAGTTTCCAAATTTTAGAAACCAATAAATTATTCTGTCCAGAGTTGCATTGCTACATATGGTAGCCACTAGGGTGGCTATTCAATATGGGGCTATTGAAATCAAGTTAAATTTTAAAAATTCAGTCCCTTAGTCCAAATAGCCACATTTCAAGTGTTCAGTAGCCACAGGGAGCTAGCTGGCCACCATACTGGACAGAGACAATGTGGAGTATCTCTATCATCATGGAAAGTTCTGTTGGACAGTGCTGACCCCAGACTGAGACAATCTGAGACTCAAAAAGCAAAACAACTGCAATGCACTGAAACACACAAAAGATGTTAAAATCTAACAAATAAAAACAACTAATTAGTCACTTTGGGAGGATACTGGGGAACCATTATTCTGAAAATTGGTAACTAATGGAATGAAAATCACACATTTATCCAACCTTTCCTGTATGACCTGTATCTCATGGTAAACAGTGAGTCGATAAGGGCACATTCTTATTTACAGGAGAATCCCAGGTGACAAATGCAGAAGGAATGATAGAATTAGGACATCCCCAGTTTGCAACCCCCCCCTTGAAATAATGGAGCTAGGCAGTGACGATTAATTAAACCAGTAGGTGAAAAACTGATGGGGAACTTTACAGTGGTTGCCTCAGTCTGACTACACCTGAACCCACTGCTCAGATTAAAAACCAGAAAAAGAGAGACAAGCAAGCATGATGTGCTGCCAAGGCACAGTCATATGCATTTTCAAGACAAGGGATCATACATCAAAATGACATACTGATGTATTACATAAAGTTCACCAAGGCACATAGTCCAGGTAAGCACTTACAAAGTGACCGGCAAGTCACCATGATGCCCTACAGAGTTGGGAAAGAATGCTATTCTTTTAAGAAGTTAAAAAAAAAAAAAGTTACACTACTAGCATCAGAAGAAAGGGGGGAAAATTGATCTTTACAGGTGAGCAGTCACTTCTGTCTTTGAGGAGCTCTGGCTAATGTGTAATGCAGATACACACTGCACATTAGGGAGAGAGGGAGGAGGGCCAAACAAACACACAGAGAGAATTTTATGTTTAGTTTCTCTTGTCCTGCCTTAAAATATAAATTTTATTTCATCACCAGAATGAGGGAATTGAAGGCTAAGAAAGCTGTGTAACAAATGTCTTCATTAGTCAGCTACCCCTAGCACAAGCCCCTTTGTTAAATCTTCACAAATAATATTTCTTTGTCAAACAATGATATATAAACAGCCTGCTTTGGTCACTTCGGTGGTCCCATTTCTATGAGACTTCCCTGTGTATGAATTAAATTGTTTTTTTTCCTCCTGTTAATGTCTTGTGTCAACGTAATTATTAGATCAGCTAAAAGAACTCAAGAGAGATGGGGGGAAATTTCTTCCTCCTGGACAGAATTATTTCGTGATGTCTGGGATTTGCTTCAAAATAACCCAGTGGGACTGGGAGGGAGAGGATAGCTGAAAACAGGTTGGTCATGTGTTGGTAATTGCTGAAGCAGAACGGTAGGCTTCAAATGGGGTTTTCTTTACTTTTCTTTATCTTTACATATATTTGAATATTTCTGTGATTTAAAAAATGTTTTTCTAAATTCTTTTATGACCAGTTCAAATGTTGGGACATGTGAGTTCCAGCCCTGGGACGAGTGGCCCCCTGGGGAAGGGCACCTGGTCACCAGCAATACCTCCTATGGCCACAGGGTGGCTCCAAAACTCGCTTTTGTGAGACTGTAGAGCAGGCTTCCCTGAACCAAGGTCATGGAAAGTGACAGGACAGACCTAAATGCTTGCTGTTTACTAATTCACAATGTGAACTGTGACTGCCCAGTTCTTACTATCTATAGGTCCCCTAGGCAGGAAGGCTATTATGAGCAGAATACCCCAAACTTCCAGCTGCTGGAGCCCAAAATCTAGCAGTCATCCTTGACTGCTCCCTTTTTCTCATCCACCCACAGCCCCATGTTCAGACTTTATCTTCTAAGGATCTCTAGATTCCTTCCACTTCACTCCACCTCCCTGACTCCACTCTGGTCCAATCTCATCCTACCTTTCCTGGATAACACCATGGCTTCTTCATAGACCTTCCGCTTAAAATCTTAAAATCCATTCTCCATGTTGCAACCAAAGTCATCTATGTATGTTATACAAATCTGAGCCTGTCCCTCCGCATGGCTGCAAGGCCATGTCCCTTGTCTACCCATCCCACCTCGCCCTGATCTCTTCTTCCCCTTCCATTATGGGCTTCAGACACACTAGCTCCCTTTCTGTTCAACAAATACACTGGGCTTGTTCCCACCTAAGGAACTTTGCACTTGCTGTGCCTGACCTGGAATGCTCTTTCCCCAGATCTTCATACAGCTGACTCCTTCTGTTCATTCTATTTGCTCCAGGGACCTTGGAGAATCTTGCAAAAGCGGGTCATGGGCTTTCCTCACTTTCACTCTAGGACAGTGCTTCCTTCACCTGTGAATAGTCAGACCCGATAAACTGTCTGGGGGAGCGTGGCTCTGAAGTCCTGGGCTTTCTATTCCCAGAGAAAAGTTCTAACGAGGACATTCTCTTCCATAAAGGCAGTAGAATTATCAAAAACTCAGGAAATTAACACCGATACAGTACTATTATCTAGGCTAGAGACCTTATTCAAATGTTGCCAGTTGTTCCACTAATGTCCTTTATACTAAAAAAATTTTTTTCCTGATCCAGGATCCATTAGGATCACACATTAAATTTCTCAAGTCAAATTTGGCACATCTTTTTTTTTGATTGAAGTATAGTTGTTTCACAATGTTGTGTTCATTTCTGCTGTAAAGCAAAGTGATTCAGATATATATATAGACAGATAGATAGATATTCTTCTCCATTATGGTTTATCAAGGATATTGAATATAGTTCCCTGTGCTATACAGCAGGACCTTGTCGTTTGCCCATTTTTGTCACATCTCTTTGTCTTTCATGACCTTGAGGAAACATCTTTTGACTGTCTCTTTGACTTACGAATTTTTTCACCCACTGGTTTAGCAAAAAGGAAATCCATTTATTACATTGGGGACCTGGAAGAGAGAAAAGCATTTCCTCTCATTTTTGACCACATTTCCTAAAACAAAGTTTAAGAACAAATGACCCATTTTCAAAGAAACTTTCCTGATCACATTATTCTAATATTTCCCTTAAAAATTTTTATTTACAGCACTTATTATCATGCAGACATATTATTTGTTTGCCTGTTTGTCGTCGATCTCTCTGACCCCAGGAAGGTAGACACTTCTGACTTGTTCCTCAAGAACATGAGCCCAGCACAGTGCCTGGGACTTATAGCTAGTCAATGAATATCTGTTGAATGAATGAATGAAGAAATAAAAAATGCCTCTAGGGTTTGTAGTTTAGACCCTCCTAGAAGCACTGAGATGAAGAGTAGTGATAAAAGAAATGTTCACATATTGAGGTATGGAGAAGTCATTCTGGCTTAAACATGAGTTAACTTGAATTTTTGTGGGGTTTTTTTTGTTTTTTTTTTTTGCGGTACGCGGGCCTGTCACTGTTGTAGCCTCTCCCGTTGCGGAGCACAGGCTCCGGACGCGCAGGCTTCACGGCATGTGGGATCTTCCCGGACCGGGGCACGAATCCGTGTTCCCTGCATCGGCAGGCGGACTCTCAACCACTGCGCCACCAGGGAAGCCCCTAACTTGAATTTTATGCTAACTAAAACAGCCTGTTTGTGGCCTATCAAACATACATTGTACACCTGCTTTATTAAAGAAAAGGGCACACTGACCAGAAGTAAAGAATGTCCATGTTAAAAATAAACATGGCATCTTGGGATGCCAATGCTGGTCCTCTTTTGATGATGACTCACTTCCCAGGTGCCAACACCATACTGACTTGCTGTGTACTCATGGTCTGTTCTTTTTTTTTTAAAAAAAAAAATGAAGAAATGTAACACTTGTTTAATGTTCTTTGTTCTGACCAGATATAAAACTGTACTGGAAACCATGCTTCCCTGGGGCAGTTTCTCAGAGTGATGTGGGAAGTGGGCTTCCGGGCTAGTCCTTAGTTTGGTTCAAATAAAACTCTTTTCTATTCTTACTATAGATGTTTATCCATTATTGTTCTTGACAGTAGGAAGAGAGATGATCTGGTAAGTGGGTAGGGAGGCCCCTGCGAGGTTGTGACTAGACTGTGAGCAATGAATGCGGGCGAGAACTGTCCGTTCTGCAGGGATCCCCTTTGAGGCCCAAAGGTCAGTGAGGTCGCGATAGTGAGAGATGCTTGGACTGTAGTTGGGCTAAGTCGTGCCCACAGCTCAAAGAGATAAGGAAATCGTTGCGGGGTCTGCATCTCCGCCCTGGATCCTTGCCTCCCAGGGACGCAGGGTTTCATTCTCTTCCTCCACTCCCCGCTCCACCCCCTTTTCTCGTACACTCCCTTCCCTAAACAAGTCTCTCATCCACACCCTAGTTCAGGAGAGCGGGCCATTTTCTGCACTCTGCAAATCCCTCACCAATCTGAGCAAGTTGTCTGGGGAGTTGGTTGGGGGGAACCCGAATCAAGGAAGGTTCAGGTATGAACCTTGTCCGCCGACAAGCGGTTGTCCGCCGACAACCAGGGGCTCCGGGAGAATAAACGACAGCCGGACAACGTAGGGGCATCCACCTCTCCAAGTTCGGCCCAGGGCAGGTGGAAGCTAAACGGATGCGGAGGATGGAAGAAAAGAGAGTGTCCAGGCCTCAGGCATGGCGATGCCCTAAGGCCGGCGTGGCGGTGACAGTGGTATCCGGAGAGTCGTCCTGGGCAGCGCAGCGGGGGCTGGGGGCCGGGCGGCTCCCGGCGTGGGCATCCGGGTAGGAAGGAGTGTCCTGGGCTAGGCAGGGCGGGTTTCCGTTCGCCGTGGCTGCGCGGGCAGAGTCGGCAGTGCGGGACCGCGCCACCGGCGCACACTCTCAGGTGCCGACAGCTCGGCTGCGCGCGGAGAGGCGGCTGGCTGTCTGCACCCGGCCGGGATGAGGTACAGAGGACCCGTACCCGCGATCCTCTGGGGGTTCTCCGCGGCGCGATAATTTACTGCTCTCGCGATATTTTCAGAGATTCCCGTCGTAGCCCCCGCTTATGCGGTTACCAAGGCAACTGGGCGGCACCAGCGCGAGCGGGAAGGCGGAGTACGTCGAATTTTTGTAGGCTAACCTGGAGACTTAAGGAGTGGCCCTCCCTGAGCTTCCAGTCCCAGAGACCACGGTCTCTGCTCCAGGAGGTAACCCTTACCCAGGGGGCCATGGGTCGGATCTCGGGACTCGTGCCCTCTCGCTTTCTGACGCTCCTGGCGCATTTGGTGGTCGTCATCACCTTATTTTGGTCGCGGGTAAGACCCATGGCCCCCCTCCTCTCGCCCCCCTTCCCACCTTGGGGTGGTCCCAGCCCCACCGCACCTTTTCCCCCGGGGCCTTACCCGGTGGGGTCCTCCCATTCCCCCGCCATCCGCCGCCCGACCCTCTTTCAACTTCTCTTTCTGCCCTGCTCCCCAGGACAGCAACATCCAGGCCTGCCTGCCTCTCAAGTTTACCCCTGAGGAATATGAAAAGCAGGACATGCAGTGAGCACTTGGGGCAGGGTGGTCAGAATTAAGCAGTAGTGGGAGTGAAGGGGTGTTAGAAAAAGGCCAGAAGGCCTAAGCCAGCTCCCTTCCTTTCTACAGGCTGGTGGCAGCGCTCTCTGTCACCCTGGCCCTCTTTGCAGTGGAGCTGGCCGGTTTCTTCTCAGGAGTTTCCATGTTCAACAGCACCCAGAGCCTCATCTGTATCCTTTCTACTTGTGCACCTTTCCTGTACGGCCCATTTCCATCTTAACACCCTTCAGCCACCTAACTAGGCCTTTCTGGCACAGTGGTGTTTGCCCTAGCAGGCAAACAGAATCCCTCCAGTTGAGAGGTCTTCTTAGGTAATGTAGAAGATTTAATACAATCTTTGATCATTTGTTAAGCTCCTGCTATGCGTCAGGCACTGGAGATCTCAAAATGGGAGTAAAACACAGTTTTCTATCTTGAGGAAGAGGCAGACACACAGACAGACATCTGTAATTCAGTGTGATAAGCACTGTGCCATAGGATGTGTAAAGATGTGAAGCACTATGGGAATGCAGAAGAGACTGAGGAAGATGGATCAGGGAAGGCTCTTGACACTGGGATAGTGGACGGGGAGGACCAGGGTGCTGGAGAGTGATTCTAGCAGGGTGTATAATGTCACTGTGAGCGTTCCCGTGTGCTTGGAGTAGGTGGGGAGCCTACTACTTCACCTGATAGATATGGGGTGGCGGTAGCTTGGGGCCCCAGCTGTGCAGGCTCAGTTCTGGCCTCCACTCACATGGCAGTCCTAAAACTCAGAAGTCAAGGCTGCTGACTCTGGCCTTTGCAGTGTGGTAAACGGAGCAAGAGGTGCCCTGCTCTCCAGGAGGTGAACCAGAATGCAGATGCCAGTCCCACCACTGGCCTTTTCTGGCCCATCACTACCTATTGATCCAAAGGCTTTCCTTGACTCTGGTGCGTTCCCAAGCCATTGGGGCTCACTGTAGTGCATCTGTGGCCCTATCCTTCTTCATATTTGAGCGTTGGGAGTGCACCACGTACTGGTACATTTTTGTCTTCTGCAGGTATGGTAGCACCCAATGTTTGAGGACGGGGAAGGACGGTTTACTTTAAATCTGAAGGTTTCCCCTACCCAGCCCTTTACTCCATGTATAAGATATCAGATCCACTCAACATCCCGTGGTCTTTTTGAGGTCCCCCACTCCTACACTTTGGGGGTGGGATTGCTGGCTTGGGGATTTGGATGTTTTTATTGGAAGGGGCCCTGAACCTATCACCTACCTTCCATAGTGCCATCCCAGCCGTCACCGAAATAGCATTATTCATCAGCGTCTTTGGGCTGAAAAAGAAACCTTTCTGATACCTTCGTGACTGGAAGTAGGGATGAAGGCTGGAGAAGCGAGGGACCACTCACCGTTCCTGGAAGAAGGGAACCATAGACTTCAGCCCTCCCCCTAAAACTGCATTTGGTGGAGGATGTCAGTGTTAGGGTAATTGTCTCTCGAGTCTGGAGTTATGAGTTTTGTTTACAATTCTTTGTAAAAAAAATATATTTTAGGGTAAGATCAAGACTTACTGGAATTCGTGGCAGTACAGTGGTTAGGACTCCGCGCTTCCACTGCAGGGGGCGCGGGTTTGATCCCTGGTCGGGGAACTAAGATCCCGCATGCCGCGCAGCGTGGCCAAAAAAAAAAAAAAAAGATAGATCAAGACATAAAAATTTCAGGAGAAAATTGGGGTGGCCAATCTACTATAGAAACGGAAGTCTTGCACTCTAAGATACTAGATGTCGCTTTTATTTTGGTTATTACGGTAGCTTTCTGGCGGAAGGGGGTGGGCGGGGATATGTAAATAAAGTGAGGCGGCCGGGTACGACAGCAGGCTCTTAAGTGAGTGGAGCGTTCTGGGAGGAATTAGCCTATGCTTTTTTGACGCCAAATGCAAAAATATATTTTATAACATCTGCAAATAAATGTAGCAACAGAAATGGAAGAACCTAGATAGCTTTAGGTTGCTCAGGGTAACGTGTTGGGTTCTCACCCTCGCTCAAAGTGGAATCTTTTTCCCAGAGTACGGAATGCCCCAGAGTTTTCTATATCGTCAGGTAGGATAATCCTTACCTGTTTCTCCTTTTGGAGAACAGAATGGAATATGATGATTGGAGCACGCATGATTTCGTGATTAACGGCTGTGCGTAATCAGGCTTTGCAACATCCTGATTGCTCCTCTCTGATTCTTTCTGACGATCTTTATCTTTAGTGTAGTTCTTTCCGTGGGTAATAGTTAAGTGTTTTTAGCGGTATGGTATGCTTATTGAAAGAAGAAACAGACGTGTTATTCGTGTCCAGAGCACCAGAGTTTCTTGGGATTTGTTAGTAATGAGATGCATTTTTTGGAAGGAGAAAGTTTAGGGTTTTTTTTTTTTTGTTATTTGGAGAGGTCGTGTAGCGGTAATTCTTAGATATATGTTAAATACTACGGTAGTAAGTGCTGGTTAATGTTATTTTTTAAGTTTTTAATGACGTGTTATGTGTCTTTGGGTTTTTGAGGAGTGGGTTTTCTGTATTTGTTATGGTTTTATTCTGGCAGTATTAGTTTCGAATCTTTAATTTCGCTCTGCAGGAGTTCCCTTGTCGTGTAATTTTTCTTTTAAGAACCTGTTGAAGCTTCTGTTTTCAGTCAATAGTGTAAGTAAGAGTACCCTGTTTTTGCTTGGTAGTTTATAGAAATAATACGTTCAAAAAGAAGTTATTGAAACGCGTTGTTAGGTGTTGTGAAAACTACAGGAGTCGAAGGTTTGGTCTTGTCATGGGGTGAGTATATTTATTTGCAAGCTCACGTTTTCAAGAGAAGGGTTGTTGTGTGTTGGGAAAGTTTTGTTCGTACATTTCAGTTTTAAAAGGTGGAGTCCAGGCCTTTTTTTTTTTTTAAGCTGTACGCGGGTCTCTCACCGTTGTACCGTTGTGGTCTGTCTCGTTGCGGAGTACAGGATCCAGACGCGCAGGCTCAGAGGCTATGGTTGAGAGGCCCAGCCGCTCCGCTGCATGCGGGATCTTCCCGGACCGGGGCACGAACCCGCCTTCGTCTGTATCGGCAGACGGACTCTCAACCACCGCGCCACCAGGGAAGCCAAAAACACATGCAAGGAGATGTTTTCTGGTGATGCCCTGCAGGTGATTCCTGTACGTAGATAACTTTTTCCTAGCTCTCTCTGTTTTCTGGCAGCGCTTCTTTATGGATACTAGTACTGTATGCTGTAGTAGGCACTGAGGGAGTAGATGTTTGATCCTCGGCCATCACAGATATTGCGGCTCATGGAAAGAGACAGAAGTGTGTGGTACTCCCAGAGTAGTTTAGTTCTAAATTGTTATAAAAGCTGCAGAGGCGATTTACAGGTGCTACGAAGGAGTGATGAAATTGCCGAAGGTGGCAGGAGTGCTGCTTCTCAGGAGCTGTTTGAGTGAGGTCCTCGAGTGTGGCTGGAGCAGAGAAAAAAGGGAGCAGGTTGTCCGCGAGGAAAAAAAGGTGGACCTTTGCAACGTCACGGGTTCGAGCCCTGGCTCAGGAGGATTCCACATGCCGCGGAGCAACTACACCCATGCGCCATAACTACTGAGGCTGAGCGCTGGAGCCTACAAGCCACAACTCTTGAAGCCTACACGCATTAGAGCCTATGCTCCGCAACAAGGGAAGCCATGAAGCCACGACAATGAGAAGCCCACGCACTGCCACAAGGACCCAACACAGCCAAAAATAAGTTAATTAATTAATTAATTAAAAAAGAATCTTTGGGCTTCCCTGGTGGCGCAGTGGTTGAGAGTCCGCCTGCCGATGCAGGGGACACGGGTTCGTGCCCCGGTCCGGGAAGAACCACGCGGAGCGGCTGGGCCCGTGAGCCATGGCCGCTGAGCCTGCGCGTCCGGAGCCTGTTGCTCCGCAACGGCAGAGGCCACAACAGTGAGAGGCCCGCGTACCGCAAAAAAAAAAAAAAAAAAAAAGAATCTTGAAATGTCATGTCTATAGGCTGTTACACTGTGAATAGCACAGAAAGTTGAGGATACATTCCAGGATTTGAAAACTGTTGTCAGTTTCAGCAAAGAAATCACTCAAGTCATTGAGGAATCTGTGAGGTTTCAGCATATCGTGTGTTTCATTTTTGTCTTACTCAAAAACGTAAATGAAAACATCAACGAACGTTCACGTTGGAACTGCACTTGTACTTAGGCTATAACTCCATTTATGAAATCATGGATACAGAATAGCATTTACAATAAAAAAAATTGTACATTTTATTATTTGTGGATTCTGTTACATATCCTTTATATCAGTAAAATTTATAATAAACTTATGTACATACACAAATGCATACTTTTTTTGGAAAGTGGGTTGTTAAACATTTACCAGCACTTTCTTGCTCCTGCAATAATCCCAAGAAACCTCTCATCACCAATGATTTCCTTGTTCCTAAATCCAGAGGTTCCCTCTCAGACTAGAGTTTGATCTCTTTCCAATATGCTGACCACTCCCCTCATTTGAAATTTGTTCTCCCTTCGTTTCTGAAATTAGTTCCCCTGGCTTACCTCCCCCTGTTCTGGCTGCTCCTTTTTAGGCTCAGCTGATGAATATTGACTGAGAACCCAGAGCTGGCCAGTCACTGGGGACATATTACTGGGTTGTCGCCTCTTAAGTGCCGGTGGTCACTACTCCTTGGGTGACTTCATCCACCTCTTCAGACACCACCCAGATGCTGCTGGTTTCCATGCCTTGGCTCTCTTCTGTGATCCCCAGCCTAGGGCAGAGACCAGAAGCGAGCTGTGGAGCCAATCCTGGGGTTAACGTGCACCCTCTCTCCTTGGTTGTGTGATCACCAACAGGTCACTAAACCTCTCTGTGCCTCAATTCCTTCACGCTCCAGAAGTACTTACTACAAGCACCTCAACAATCTATCTCTTAGCCACCACCCGAGGCTTTGCCAATTAGCATCAAAAATAGGTTCTCACTTTATTGTGAAATTAGTGGCTTGTTAATCAGCGTCAGCCAGTCATGAAAAAACAAATACTGCTCGATTCTACTTATATGAGGGACCAAGAGTAGAGGCTCAAAGTCATAGAGACGGAATGTAGAATGGTGGTTGCCGAGAGCCGGGGGAGAGGAAAAGGGGGAGTTGTTTAATGGGTAGAGAGTTTAAGTTCTGCAAGATGAAAAGAGTTCTGGAGATTGGTTGTACAACAATATGAATGTACTTAGCACTACTGAATTGTACACTTAAAAATGGTTAAGATGGTAAGTTTTATGTATTTTTTATAATTTAAAAGTAAAAAAAATTAAAAATCAGTGGGGAAAGGGATTAGTCAATAAAGTTTATTAGAAAAACTGAGTAGCCATTGGGGGGAAAATATGGATCAATACCTTATAATTTTAGAGCACAGAAAAGTTTCAAAAACAGTACAAATGTCCTGTATACCCTTCACCCAGCTTCTCCAGATGTTCACATCTTGCATAGCCATGGTATAATTATGGAAACCAGGAAATTAGTGTTGATACAATACTGTTAACTAATCTACAAGTCATATTTGAATTTTTCCGGTTTTCCCATTAATGCATTTTTTCTGACTCAGGATCTAATCCAGGATTTCACATTGCATTTAGTTGTCACGTCTCCTTAGGCTTTTCCAATCTGAGACAGTCCCTTTTTTTTTTCCTTTCATGATCTTGACACATCTGTAGAGCACTGGTGAGTTATTTTGCAGAATATCCCTCAATTTGGATTTGTCCAATGTTTCCTCGTGATTAGATTGAGGTTATGCATTTCTGGTAAGAATACCACAGAAGTAAATAGTTTGGAGTAAGGAAGACATAAGTATGAAAACAAGATGCAGAAGTCATGAAAGACTGATATATTTAAATCTGTATTTAAAATGTTAAAAGTGTGTGTGGTAAAAAAAAAGCGAAAGTTAAAAGACAAATGAAAATCTAAACAAAAATATTCATAATTCGTATTAGAAAGAGCTAATTTTGATACATAAAAATGTCCTACAAATCTGTAAGAAAAATACTGACAACCCAATAAAAATGTACAAAAAACTGTACAGACATTTCGCAGAACAGGAAATATAAAAGGAAATATAAAGAACTCTCAAATATAGGAAGAGATGCCTGACTTCATTCAGCATAAGACAGATGCAAATCATGCCTAACTTACACTCAATGACCAAGAAGTTTCATAGCGAGTTGAAGAGGGTATTGGGTTTAAGTAAACAAGCCTCACCTGTTTGTTGGTGGAATAAAAATTGGTAACACATCCACCTGAGAGCAATTTGGCAATATCCCATCAAAATCAAAATCAATCACAAAGAGCCATACCCTTTGACCTAGGACTTTCACATCTAGGAATTAGCCCTTCAGGTTTGCACACAGGTAGAATGGGGATGTGTAGATTATTTCTTGCAGCTTTGCTTGTAGTGGCAAAAGATTGGAAGCAAATGTCTGTCAACAGGGGGTTGGTTAAACTGCATTACCATGTAACACTGCAGCCAGGACGAAAGCAAACCTTATACATGGTTATGGAACAGTCTCCAAGATACTTAAGTGACAAAAGCAAGTTACAGAACAGTTCGTGTGGTGTTCTTCCATTTGTGTAAAGAAAGGTGGAAAGGTATGTGCACAGAGCATCTCTGGAAGGAGGGAAACTACTGGGAGGATTGGAGCTGAGAGGTGGAAGCTGGAGGGCTGGGAGAAAAGGGTGAGAGAGAGACTTTCTCCATATGCTCTTCTGAATTTTTGGAATTTTGAACCACATTCATTTTTTTTTTTTAACTAACATTTTAAAAGAATGTGAGCCTGCAGCTGCTTCTGTTCCCTATCTGGAAATGAAGCTAAGGCAAAGGTCAGCAGGCCTGGAAACAGAGAACCAGATCCCTGATGACATCACATGAGCACCTGGACCCTGCTGTTTCCAGCTACACTCCAGTCATGTGAGCCCTCAGAGCCTCCTTTCTGGTTTAAATCTGTCTGAGCTGTGTTGGCAAGTGTCTTGATCATTACGTCCATCAAAGATCATCGTGGGTGCTTTTTTTCCCTCCAGCTTTATTGAGGTATAATTGACAAACATGATGTGTTGTGGGTTTTGTTTTTATTTTTTTGGCCGCACGGCTTGGCTTGCAGGATCTTAGTTCCCTGACCAGGGATTGAACCTGCGCCCTCAGCAGTGAATGAGCAGAGTCCTAACCACTGGACCACCAGGGAATTTCCTCATGCTCTGTTTAATGATCTCTTTTCTTGTATATTATTGTAGCTCCTGGTGCCAGCACAGTGCCCGGCATTGTAGAGTGAAAGAGCCCTCATTTAACAAATGAGGAAGATGAGG